CCCATCCCATCCCTCTACCCCTCCTCCTTCTTTCTTCTCACAGGTGGCTATTCCTGGGGCCTGGGCCCAGCCCTCCCGCTATCCCCAGTGCTGGCAGCAGTCCCCAATGGCCCAGTGGGCCCCAAGGAGGATGAGGCCCAGCAGGCAGCAGCCCGGATCACTGGGGCCCTGGGTGGCCTGCTTACACCCCTCTTCCTCCGTTGCATTATGGCCTTCCTCATCTGGTGGACTGCTGCCAGCCAGCTGCTCTCCAGCCTCTTCGGCCTCTACTTCCACCAACAATTGGCAGGCTCCTAGCCACCTGCAGACACTCCTGGCGCCCCATGGCTGCCCCCTCCTTGTGTGCCTCAACGTACCCAGGTGCAAGCAGGCCTGGGCGTTCCCATTGTGCCCAACCCTTCACTGCAGTGCCTCCAAGGGCACCCCTTGGACCCTGAGCTTTGTGTCAAAACCTGTCTCCCAGGGCCGGTGGCAGAGGGTCCCACAGCCATTGTTCCTGGGTTGCATGTGCACATTCAGGTTTGACAGCAGAGCAAGGAGGCCACGCTTCTGAATAATGGAGCCGGTGGCTTTTTACAAAAAGGGAAACAGAAGGGCGATTGGGGGAGCGGGGGATGGTGGGCGCATGGCTCTGGGCTAGACCACAGCGGCTACTGCCCCGTGCCATGTGGGCACTGCTTTCCTATAAAGGTCACACACAGGCAAACGGGCAGGTTGTTGAGGCCATGGTGAGCCACGGGAAGGGAGATGAGGGGCCCTGTCTGACTCTGGAATCTTCCTATCACTGTGGCCACACAGCGGGAACCCAGTGTGTGTGCATGTGTATTTAACAACATAAATGTAGCTGAAAAGCCAAAATTTAACTGAGTAAATTTTGAAGATATTAATTGGCTTTATTCAACAACTCATGAATCAAGCAGCATTCCAGTGCTGTTCTCCTAGCCCCTAGAGTGGTGTTTGACTTTTGAGACTCTGCTTTTGTTGCATGGATAAACATGTAAAGTATATTTAAAACAAGGGTTAAAACCTGGGTTAAGGTAAACTAAATGCATCATCTAATTTTGATCCTTCTCAAATCCCCAGTAAAAGTACAGAGGTATCAGAATGTTCTGGAAGTTAGGAATTAAGGGAAGAGCCATAATTGACTGCCAAGCCTGTGGACCCCAAACTCAAAGCCCAGGAAATAGCTGGATTTACCTGTAGAACCTTCCAGAAGCACTGACCGCCAGGTCACGATAGGCCAGGCTGAGGGTAAGGATGAGACACAGAAGCTGCTGACATGGAAGCTGTCTGGGAAGTCCTCAGGTGCTCATGTCCCTCCCTTGACACCACTGCACAGCCAGAAGGGAAGCCAGACTTGGTAGGGGGCATGTTGGCAAATGGGTGATTACACATATTGAGTGCTAAATGGAAAAAGCCACCATCCCTCACCCTGTGTGCAGATTCAAGAACCTTCCAGGCATGAGAGTGAAGACCCCTGGGGAATCCAACTGGCCCACAAAGAAAGACTTAATGACACTGGCACCACAGAGTTCCCATCAGCCACCAGCTTAGCTGTGAGTCCACGTGTTCCCCACACTCACTTGGTCTTCCTGTCTGCTTGCCTGAGTCCCTAGTCTTCATTATGAACAGACAGCCAGGAGTGTCCAGCAATCTGAGGAGGTGTCCAGTGTGGGAAACAGACTCAAACAGGAAAAAACAAATGGGTGAAATTGACTTTACAGGGAGAAGAGAACTTACAAAACAAAAAAAAAAACAGTCCAGAATGTTCTCAAAATTATATCTATGAAACAAGAACAGACTCCTAAAAATGAACATCTGAAGACCCTTTTTTGTTCTCTTTTTGAGCTCTTGGAGATTAAAAGCAGATGGGAAATAAAGTTGTGGAAATCTTGCAGAAGGAACAAAAAGATAAAAGACATGTGAAACAAGGACAGTGAGGAAATTAGATTAGAAGAATCTTCAATATGATGAGAGTTCTGGCAGGAGAGATCCGAGCAAACAGAGGGAGTCACTCCATGGAACAGTGCAAAGGGGACTCCCCAGCACTAGAAGGTTCCTGGTACCTGACGCCAGGTGACAAGAGCCCCATCTGAAGCCACGTCTCTGGGAAGTTCCAGAACAAAAACCAGCTCCCAGGGAGGACAGAACAGGCCATAGCTAGTGGTGCAGGAATCAAATGATGGAGCCTCGTCTCCCAACTCTGCAGGACCTGCACTATCCCCTGGCACCTCAAGGGTCACCAGGGCCCCCTCCCATCAGCTGACAGTTGGTGGCCTCAAGCTCACTGGGCACAGCTCCTCCTGCAGTGGCACCTCAGGCCACCTGACCCCTCACTTGCTCAACCACAGCTGTGCATGCTGTTCTGAACGTAACACCATGTGGTTTAGGGACACACAGGAAGGCGGCAACACCATAAACAAAAGCAATGCAGTGACTGACACAAATGGCAGGCACCGTAGGCACAGCGGGGTGCAGCACTCCTGGGACAGCCAAGGCAGGAAGGACCAGACAGTTACAGCCCTCACTGCTGCTGTGTGTCAAACCACACAGACATTTACAGTCTTTTTGACACATTTCACACACACAAAAAGAAGGTAAGAATGAGAAAAATAAGGTAGAACCACAGAGAACAATAGGGAAGGTGTAAGGGGGTGGTCAAGGTTCTGTGTTTTGGGGGTAGAATTAAGTATTTTAGGTTTTGTTAATTGACAGCACAGTGGCAACTACCACACATTGGTGCTGCTCATAGGAGGGGATGATTCTAGTCAATGGAGACATTTTTGGTTGGCATGACTTGGGGGTGGGGAGGCTCATGGCGTCTGGTGGTGGAGGCCAGGGAGGCTGCTCAACATCCCACAGTGCCCAGGGTGGTCCCCAACACACAGAACGACCCTGCCCCAGACATCAGTGGTGCCAAGGCCGAGAACCCCTGTGTCACAAGAAACAGACTGTATAATTTCTAAACCAGCTGACAAAAAGAATAAAAAAGAAACAAAAAACCCCAAACAAATCAAAACTTCGGCTCAAGAGAAGTCAGCCAAGGAGAAAACCGGTGCAAAGAAAAGACCCGACAAACTGAAACAGGGCCTGGAGTTCGCCCACGCGAGTGTGGGATGACCTTACCTTCTCAGGTCCTCCGACCTCTTGCCCTCGCTGTTCCTGCCCCACCGGCCCACTCCCTGGTCACAGCCTGCCTCCCTCACTGCCCCTGCAGCTTCCCCTCTCCCCTCCCCTCCATTCTCACTCATGGGGGCCCACGTTTGTCAGCACGTCCCAGTATTTTTGTTATGGCCCTGGGTGTCTTGGGCAGCTCAGCCTCATTCCCCCTCAACCCCCCAGTCACATCAGCGCCATCTTTCCTGTTACCCTTCTCTTTCTCCTCACACCTAGCCCATCAGGAAACCTGTCAGCAACATCGTCGTCCCCCATCCCCACCATCCTGCTGGGTTCAATGGCTGCTGGTTCCCTGCACACAGCTCTGCCTGGCAGCCAGATGGGGGCTTGCGAGAGACTCCATCCCGACCCTTCCTTCCCTGAGAAGTCACCTTGATTAGGGAGCATGAGGGCCTCCCAGGGCACCCAGCTTCTGAGAGAAAAACTTAGACCTCCTGCCATGCAGACTCTGTTAGAACAGAGCTGGGAAAAGTGATATGGGTCCAGTGGCTTCATCCATTCTGGCTGCTATAACGAAAGGCCATAGCCTGGGTGGTTGATAAACAGAAACTGATTTCTCACTGTCCTGGAGGCCGGAAGTCTAAGATCAGGGCACTGGAATGCCTGGGGAAGGACCTGCTTCTGAGTCACCACTGCTTGTTGTGTCCTCATGCAGCAGAGGGCAGAGAGGGAAGCCAGCTCTTTCAAGTGACTCTTGTAAGGGCACTGTCCCATCGTGGGGGCCCCACCCGTATGACCTCCTCTGACCCGAAGCACCTCCCCAAGCCCCACCTCCTAACACCACCACGGTTGGCTTTAGGTTTCAACATAGGGATTTGGAGTAGACACAAACATCAGTGCATGACAGCTCAGAAAACACACAAGCTGAAAAGGCAGAAGAGTCACAACAAAGGCAGAGACAATAAGATCTTGAGTGAATTGTCAGAAGTCATCTGGAGGCAACAATTTCCTAGGAAGACACAAATTAGGAGAATTGAGTCTGGGTCTGATCTCTCCCAGACTGAAGATGGGTGCCCAGGCTGGGCCCTGAGGGGGAGCTCTTGGTCCCATCCCTCACCTAGAGCTTTCTGGAACTTTTTCAGTCCATCTCTCCCAGACCCCAGCCTGGCTCCTTGCCTGAGCCCGCTCCATTCTCCCTCATCTGCTCAAACACTCCATGGCTCCCCGGTGCTAGTTTCTGGGCTGGCCGACACCCACCCTGCAGGGAATCTCCAGGCTGGGGAGGGGGCACTTTTCTCAATACCCTAGGCAGGGTCTTCCCCTCCCTCAGCCACCCTCCAGGATTCCCACCTGCCTCCCCTTGGCTCCATGGCATGTTTTTTAAATGTTTCACAGCAAGAGCCAGAGCAGCACCACCCATCACATTGCCTGTCCCGAGGAGTCCCCCAGGGCAGACACAAGTCTGGGAACCCTGACTCACCCCTCCCTAGAGGAACATGAGGCCCATTGAGCAGAGGGGCTGGTGGGGAGTTGCAGCCACTTCTCTCCAGTGTGTTGGTGTCACATCCATTGCTGCCTCCCTGGAGCACAAAAACATCACTCATGTCACTCAGGAACATCTTGCCTCTCCTACCAGGCCTGCTGTCTGGGGCTGCCGTGCACAGAATGATGAAGAGGAGGGGAATAAATGGCCAACAATCATGAACCCTGCTTGACACCTGCGGGCACCTGCGCTGGCACAACCTTGCTGGGGAGCACTTCGGTGGCATCTGGAAGAGATGACGCCACCGCTGGCTGGTCCCTCAGGGACACATCCTGGGAGATTCTCACCCGGGGGTGCAGAAGCCAGGGTGGCAATCACAGCATTATTTCTGATGGCAAAAAGCTAGCCCAGAAATGAGTCAATAAATGGGGTTAAATAGTAAATAAGTAAATAGCATGTCACTCACCACCCACACTTCCCGCGAAGTGAGGCTCCCACTTCCCGCCTGTGGCTGGCACACCCTCCATGTTCCAGGACCACTGTCAGATCTCTGGTGGCCTCACCCTCCTGTCCTTGAAGACGGTGACTCTCAGCATCTGAGGCCTCAGCCAGCTGTGGAGCAGAGCCCCCAGCACACACAACAGACCACAAGGCACAGGAGAGAGAAACCTTAGGATCTGGGAGCAGTGCTCACTGAACAGGACATGGCCCATCCTGACTGATGTCCCCAAAGGAACAAGTGTGTATGCACACAGGATCTTAGGAAAGATGCAATGAACCGGTAATGGGAACTCCCCTGCGGAAAGAGCCAGGAGGCTCACCTACTTTGTAAACCCTTCTGTGCAGTTTTCCAGAAAATCATAGTGTGAATTGACAATTCAAACAATTACATTAAAAAAAAGTTTATTCATGACTGTATTAAAAAAATCAAAATAACCTCAACCCTGTTTTTGGTTCGTGGTGGATGGGGTAGGGATCAGAACCTAAGAAAACAGACATGGACAGGAGGAAAAGTCAGTTTAATTTTTATTAAATATACTCTCTTGGCACAAATCTTTAAAATATATAAACATTATATATAAACAAAGTGTCTTCATGGCATCAAAATAACTCCAGACCAAGACAGGCAGCCGGTGGGGAGTGACCACGGAGGGTGTCAGCCCATCTGTGTGTGGGGCTAGGGAGTGGGGGTGGAGCTGCTGACGCCCACTGGGCTGGGAGCCACCTTGGGGTGGCACACTAGGGCCAGGAGGACCTGGGGTTACCCTCCCCCTCCTGCCCAGCCTGCAGCTCACAGGGGGGTGCTGCCCAACCAGCCACCTGGTCTCACCTGCCCAGGGTGGACCCCCAAGTCCCTGTTGCTCTCTCCCCTCTGGGACTCTTGGCTCCCCAACCTGTCTCCCTGTGAGGGGCGCCCCTGCCTCTCCTGAGCACTGCGCAAAGCTGAGAGAGGTGGGACACTTATCCAATAGGACAGCCATCACAGGCTGCTTGGGCCTCTGGGGACAAGAGTTTGGGGATGAGACTGGGGCTGGCAGATAGATACATGCAAAGAAGGGTACCCACAGGTCCAAGGTAAGAACAGACACCGGACAAAACAAAAAGAAGAAATCAAAGTCACAACTGAAAATGCATGTGGGACAAGCACACAAATCTTTTTCACACATGGTGGGGCTGAGTCAACCTCGTCCTGGAACCAGATTGGGCCAGTCAGGGTTTACTGTGACTGGACGCAAGGTTGGACAATTTAAAAAACAAAAAGTCAAGAAACTCCAAACATCATTAGGAAACGGGTATTTCTGAGTCCCTGTGACACCAGCTGAACCTGGAAACTTCTCTGTGAGGCTGGCTTTCTGGGGGTGCCCTGGGGTACCCAGACTCTTCCGAGCTTCCCATCCCAGGACATACACTGTCTTGGGACCTCCCATTTAGGCAGGATCCAGGCTGCCAGCCACCTCTGTGCACTCCATTCATGGAAATCAGACAACCCTGTGGGCCTTTAATTGTGACGTGTCTTGGCCCAATGCCTGCTCAGGTGGGAAGCCAAGGATGTGCCAGATGCTACTGGTGCTCCCAGGAACCGCTGTGCCTGTGGGCAGAGGGTAAGGGCCTGAGGCCCAGCCTCAGTGTGCTGCTGTGGGGCGGGCTCCAGTGGGAAGACTGGCTCTGGGGCCCCACACTGGTGTGGAGTCAGGATCGGGATAACACTCTCAGAGAAGGCTGTTTCCGAGCAGAAGGCTCCGGGGTCGGAGGAGTTGTGTCACCTGGGAAGTAAAGGCAGGGCAGGGGTGGTGCGGTGAGAGGCTGTATTTGTAGCCACAGCTGAACAGGAGACTGGTCCCATTGTGGACAGGGGAGGCCAGGCCTCTCCTGCTCTCTCTGGCTCGCCCTGGCGGAGCACAGATCCAGGACAAGGGGTAGGCGGAGTCTGGCTCTGAGCCCAGTAGGGACAGGGTCACTAGAGCCAGGAGCTTGTCCAAGGGCACAGAGTGCAGGAGGCGGTGCTGGTCACTCCAGCGTCAGAGCGTTTAGAGAGGGGCATCTCCAGAGGGAGCGCTAGCCCCAGGGAGGAGGGAAGAGAGGAGACAGGCCAACCGGTCCCAACATTGCACTTCAAGGGCCTCTGGCCTTCCTCTCAGCCCCAGACCCCTGGGTATCGAACTCAGGCCCCCTGGCCTGCCTGCTTGTTCCACAGGCTCTCCCACGTGGCTCCGGGGCAGAACCAGGCCACTTCGTTCCAGGAGCTCCAAAACTTTAGGGGTCAGGGGTCCTCCACGGGCTCAAGCTCGGCTTCCAGTCCTGAAAGGAGCGAGCCCTGGGGCCCTAGCTCTGCAGGTGCCGCAGCAGGATCTGCATAAGGTCGAAAGTGGTGAAGCTGATGCCCACGGCGATGGGGCCCTTGAGCCAGTTCATGCTCAGGCCCTTGTAGAGGCCGCGCACGGCGCCCTCTTCCCGCACGATGGTGCGCAGTGTGCAGGCGATGGAGGTGCGCGGGTGGCCTGTGACGCCGGCCGTCTGCATGCGCCTCCGCACCACATCCAGCGGGTAAGAGGCGGATTGCCCGATGAGGCCGGCGCAGGCCCCGAAAATCATTCGCTCGAAGGGGTAGGGCTGCCGGTGGCTGCTGTACTCTGCGGGGAGGGCCAGGAGGGGCAGTGAGGGCACCGCCGAGCGCATCGCACACTCGAATGCGCACCAGTACCCACAGGTGCACCCCGCGCACCCACACACGCCCGTACTCTGTCACCCCTGCGTTTCAGGACCTGACTAGGTCCCCTGAGCCCTTCCACCTGGTCATTTTTCTAAAAAAATTAAGAAATAAAAGATTTTTAAAAGATAGGCACAAAAAATCTTATAACCAGGTCCAAAGACCCAGAACAAGTTCCCATTGAATCAGTCCTGTTTTCTGTCCAGTAAAGAAAAACACCATGGTGTCCACGATCCTCTCCCCATCCGCCCTACCACCACCACCACGACCACGTGGGCCCCCTGTGCAGAGTCCTGAGAGCAAACACAGAACCCTGACACATCCAGCGCTGCCTCCTGGGTCCAAAGGGACCCAAGGACCCAGGATGTGCGCCCAATCAACAGGGATTCTCTAAATACGTGTTGTAAACTTATAACCAGGAATTAAAAATGGGGATACACCGCTGTCCACTCACCACATTGGCAAACATTAAGTAACCTGACAGCACTGGGTGGGGTGAACTGGGAACAGGGCCCCAGGGCAAGCACAGCACTGAGATTAATAAAATAAAAAACAGGGTCTGGCATCCCCACAAGAATGTGCTCCTGGATGTCCACTGATCACAGAAAATCTGCCAGCAGCCTAAACACTCCCCACACTCCCCCATCCCACCTCTAACAGGATGCGAGAGGGTCAGGGACCGCAGCAGGGTGGACTCAACACCGGCTGAGGCAGAGCTGCACGACCCAGAGGTGCAGGACGTGACTCCACTTGTTACTTGTTATAACCAGGAGACAAGAGGAGCCATTGTTCCCGCCCCATATAGGTACACAAGCATTTCCAGCCACCAGGAGGATGCGGCAGGTGCTTGGGCAGATGGTTGTAGTGTTCTCTATACTTTTCGAAGCTCTCGAAATTACCAAAGCCCAAGAGGGCACTCGCCCTCAGTCTAGGTTTTACCAGTAGGCTTTTCGCAGGTGCCAATGGTCGCACAAGTGGCGGCCAACGCTCTGGGTAACACATTGGACTTGACAAGGCTGCTCTTAAAACAAGGCAGTAAAGGGCATTAAGTCCAGGTTCCACAGGGATGGACTGATGTCATGTGTCTTCTCTTGATTTGGACCCTGCGCCCCCAGCCTGCCTGCCCCAGGGAGTCCTAATGCCCGGTCTCCAGGTCTGTGTGACCTGCAGGTGCCTTCCCCCCACGCCCCCACGCTCCCACCTCACCTCTGTGCAGGCTCTTGAGTGTCTCGTAGGTGAAGAAGCTCAGCCCGGCATACGGGATGACCCCTAGCACGGTGGGTGTGAAGCCATGGTAGAGGGTCTTCAGCCCTTCTTCCCGGGAGATGCGGATGAAGACGTGAAAGATGTTGCTGTACCTGCCAGGAGTGACCAGCGGGGTAGGTTGAGGTCTCAGCACAGGGGGGAGCCGCTAGCCTTAACTCACTAATTCTAGGCGCCTCTGCAGTTGGGGGAGGGCAGGTCTGGATGCTGACGCTTTCCTTCTTTAAGGAACAGAAATAACCACCTCGTAAGAGCTTTGGCATTAGAGGGGGAAGTGGGTGCCCAAGGCCATACTCTGCCTTCATCACTGGGATCATCCCGGTGCTCAGCCCTCATCTTTCATTCCTGTGGATTTTTAGCACATCTGTGTCCAATTGAAAATGAAGACTCTAGTTTTATGGAAGCAGAACAGACCCCCAGGCTTAGAGCACTTTCTGGGACTGCTACACAATCACATGCCTGGCCTGCCCTGTTGTACCAGGTGGGGTCCACGTGGTGGAGTGTTGGTACTACAACTTCCTCTGTGGCCGGGACACAGAGGCCCAGACCCAACCCCCAAGGGCCAGATGGAGGGATCGGACCTGGGGACCCCATGAGACACAGAGCCCCTGATGCCAGTGAAGGTGACCGCAGTAAGGACTCACATTTCTTTTGGGGTCACGGCCATGCGTGCTCGGACCAGGTCCAGGGGGTAGGTAAGCGAAGCGGCTGTGGTTCCAGCAAGTGCCCCTGCGAGGAGGCGGGGCCAAGGGGGCAGGGCTCTGAAAGGGTAGAAGGGGCAAGAAGACACAGTGAGACCCCAAGGCCTGAAAAACAGGGGGCCAGTCTAAAGCCCACACAGGTATCAGTGTTGGGGGAGGAGGATCGAGGACAGGTGGGCCGGCTTTCTGGTGGTTAAGCTGGCGGGGTCTCTTGGTGGATGTCACTTTGAGTCAATCAGTGAATGATGGGGACCTTCCCTCCCCGCCTCCTGGGACCTAGGTTCTTATGTGGTGAGCGCATGGAAGTAAAACGGGAGAGCAGGGGGACTGGAGAGAGTTGAGAGTGTTTTGGGGTGCAGGGGGGCCTCACTCTCCACAGAAGCCGTAGTAGCGGCCCAGGACGCGCTTGTACTCCTCATGTGCGCTGAACTGGATGGCGGCATAGGGTACCACGCGCACCATGGTGGCCGAGTTCCCACGCCACAGGCTGAGAAAGCCCTCGTGGAGGTAGGTAAAGTAGAGCAGCCGGAAGGCCTCCTGGTGGGGGAGGGGCAAGGTCAGCACCCCCACCT